TTTCACATGCTCTGTTAAAGATAATTATAGATCCAAAATCACAACTGATTTAATGGAAGGAGTTATTTAAAAATCACTGACAACTGCAACATATAATTTATAGATTAACCTAATATTTGCATTGCTATGCAATTAGTTTTACTACAAGACATACTACAACAGTGAAAATAGCTCGTCACTGGTAACTTGAATGACAGTAGATTTAATATTTAACTACACAGGATAATTTAAAAAAAATTTAAATGGCAACAATATTGAAAATTTATTCTTAATGATAGGCAAAATATGGTATAATCGGTTATAATTAGCGAGTATTCATTAAGCTGGAAAGGTTCCCGTAGTTTCCATTTCAGTTTTATTAACACAATGCCTGCCTCTGCAGGTCTAGTTGCAGTGCAAGCCTCTTTTCTTCCTGTCATTATTTCTTTTAGATTTAACATTAAAAAGAACATTCAAAGCTCTGAGCCCCCTGACAAACTTCCAAAACCCACAAAATAATTTGCAACAGGCATTAACACAGGAAATGAATGGGTCTACGGCACATGGGCACTTTTGGAAATCCTACCAGGTGCTTGAGTACTTTTCAATGTTGTACCCATGGTCTGATGTAACATGTTAGCTTTTCACCTGACACACCTCGGAACCAAACTAGCTTGGGATCAGTTTCTGAACATAGGGGATTTGAGTCCAGTACACAAACAAAGTGGTCTCAGTGGTACACCATGATTAGCAATCTGCACAAAAGCTGGAATAGCAAGAATATTCCAGGCCAAAACTAAGGGATGTGGAGAACTAAACATCTCATTTGCTTAAACTGAGAGTCTTTCTCAGCAGTATTTCTTACCTTTTTAAAAACCAGGTACTGGAAGAAAGTGAAAATTCACCTTTTAAAATCAATGCAAGTGTCTAAATTAATGTAAAAATCAGAATTATTGCTGCTGCGACCAATGTGAATAGTGTTAAATCTTTAAAGTGTTCAAAAATGGTGAGAAAAGTATAATCTATATTAAACAGTTAAAATGAACGAAGGGGAAAAAAGCATAGAATATGGAAATGCCAACTAAAGTACCAAAACATGAGACATGGTTAATGGACAGGTTTGCCGCTTACCTAGCTGTTTCACTATAGTGTCCTTCCTGGCTTTCATATATGAAGGGCTAAGCTTTTTTTCAGTTGAGACACTAGCTTCACTGTTTTTAGATTCCTTTCTTCCTGACATGAAAGTTATGAGATAAGAATTTAGGATATTTTAAACGAAATTTTATAGACTCAAATGGTGTACAAATACCATATCTAATGCACTTACTAACTGCAGGTGGTGACCTAATCAGCTGGAATGAAGAACCTTAAAAGATAAACAAGATAGGTTACATTTTTGCAAAGTAAGGACAGCTGTTCCTAGGCTTAGCTAGAATTAACTAAAAAGACTAAAATCTTCACTTAAATATGGTCTAAGGAGATAAAGAGAAATTCTTAGAAGGGGAATGTGGCAACAGAGACAGAGAGTTGGTATCAGGCTCAAGTCTGCTATGGTCTGTAGGGATTCAAAGGGATCCCCATACAATAACTTAAATTGCCTAGTCATATGAAAGGATTGGTGGTCTCAGTCCACTTCCTAATGGGCAAGGGTGGCCATCACAGAACCATTGCCCCAACTGATAACTTGGACAGTCTCAGGACAGAGGCCAAGGACTGAAAGTTGGAGACTACTACAACTTTACTCACTGATCTTTTCAAATTCAGTCGTGGTATGCTGGCAGGGCGGCAAGGGAAAAGCTTACAGTGCTGCTTGCCCCATCTGTATCTGTCCCACAGATGACTTCAATTTGCACGCTGGCAAAGTGGGCACTTTTCACATGTACTCATTTTTTTTCTTGTTAACGAGTTAGGTATGAACCAAATCATAGCAAAAGTTTGATTAGCTATACTTGATCCCAACATTACACTAAAGCAGGAAACCCAGGAGAGTCTCTTTGAAGATTTTCTTCTTGATTTATCCATGGGGCTTTTTGGAGATGGCGCAGAAGTAATTTTATAATAGTGATAGTTTTCTTTTTTCCATATAATTCACCTTGGTATACAAAGTTAATTTTCACTCACTATGGTACTACATTTCACTTAAAAATCATATTTGAAATGAGAGAAAGGTGGAATATCAAATGTCTCAATAAGCACACAGTTGTTTGCTACAGCTTCCTTTCCTTCACAGCACTGTGACTTTCCATATAACACCCAGAAGATGACAAATGTGAATGAAACCATTCAAGCATGTATGCTAAGAATCTGATGATGTACTAATGCTCTTTCCTAATGCTGGTGCCTGCTTCTGCAATAAGGGAAATGCCTTAAACAATGTGATTTACTTGCAAAGTAAGAGTATTTCTTACGTTTTTCTAAGATCACAGCATTAAACTGATCATTGAATACTGTGGTTTCAGAGCACAAGAGTTCTGACAGAGAAGACATTTGACATCCATGACAACAGCCACTTTGGGTAAGGGAACCAGCAAAAATGAGAAAAGGAACAGAAACACATGACTTTCTAAACTTCGGTTTAAACTGGTTTAGTATAGGTCAGGTGTCTGTGGCACAGAGATCTAGCTTCTTCCTGCATATGTCACAACAGCATGGCATATCCATGCTAGCAATGTGAAAATTCTTTGATTCAGATTAGATTTGTGTCTGAATACTGGCCATTTGCCAGTATTTGTATTTAATCAAATGACAAGATAATACACAAAAAATATGATGGCATCCATTGAAGCTCTACTTCAATTTCACTAAAACTGGGAAACTCCAGAGTGCACCTTGCTTCTGAGCATAATGCGTGCAACAATGTTAAAACCAAGGAAAGCCCGAGGTGCAGTCAATGGTGCAACAGCATCCTCCATAATCCTGCCACAATTCCAAACCACATCCCGTTGCTGCTACACTCCCCTCATTCCTTCCCATCTTCTCAGGGAAACAGACAGCTGCCAGGCACAAAATGGCCTCAGCTTGACCCTGCTCATTCCTTTCTGATTGTTTCCAGAGAGCAAATGAACGACTAGCTCCTCCTAATCAGAGGCTCGCAGAAGTGGCATCCCACAACGTTCAGTACCATCCCCCCTTTTATTCCTCAACTTCTAGGTGAAGCCATTGTGGGAAACAATAGGGGCTACTGTGGGGATTTGATAGCTGCTTTCAACTACCTGAACGGGGGTTCCAAAGAGGATGGAGCTAGACTGTTCTCAGTAGTACCAGATGACAGAACAAGCAGTAATGGTCTCAAGTTGCAGTGGGGGAGGTTTAGATGTTGGATATTAGGAAAAATGTTTTCACTAGGAGGGTGGTGAAGCACTGGAATGGGTTACCTAGGGAGGTGGTGGAATCTCCTTCCTTAGAGGTTTTTAAGGTCAGGCTTGACGAAGGCCTGGCTGGGATTATTTAGTTCGGGATTGGTCCTGCTTTGAGCAGGGGGTTGGACTAAATGACCTCCTGAGATCCCTTCCAACCCTGATATTCTATGATTCTATGATACAAAGTCAGCAGTGTAACTGACGACACCTAGCTCCCTATCCTTCTCTAACTCAGACCCCCTAAACAAGCCCCAAGGCAGAAACAGACCAGAATGAAAAAAGCTAGCTGAAACTCAATCCGACAAGCCTGAGTTTATGCAGAGAGTTTGAGGAAAGCACTTAGAGAACCTATCAAAATATATCTGTTCCAATAATTGGGGGCATCTTCCCTAATCATCAACATGGTCTGCAGTCTAGCGATCCCACTTGACTCCTCAATATTGCTAGGCTTGCAGATTACATTGATCACTTGTGATCATTGAAGAGACTGTGTCCCATCCTGTCAGATATGGGTTGTGTTACAGTCACCAATGCTTCTGCACCTCTCAGGACTGAAACTGTAAGCAAAAGCTACCACAAAAATCCTGTCTAGGCCAGAATTCATCCAACCATCTTCTGAATGTGGTGAACTCATAAAAGCACATCAAACCTGTCTTCTACTTTCTGGGCTGTCTATCAAATTGCTGCAAGGTGAAATTAAGTTATTGGTTACTATGGATTATGCTCAATTTATCTTATCAACCACCTTGTCATTGCCAAAAAAGCACCTAACCAATTTTCATGCACAAATCTGGAACTCCATGTTCCGGAGGCGAAGACTTGTAGGTTTTGGAGAAAGGACATTCTTAACTACAGGCCCACTCTTCTGGAATTTGCTCTCTCCCAAAATAAATGTAAATATGACCCTGGCTGCTCTCAGAAAGAGTTTAAAGATACACTTCTATCTCTAGGTCTTACCAACTGATAAAATTATGAAATGCTGGGTTCCTAGTCAAAGTGATCAGTTTAAAAGTCGCAGGGAAGCATCATGTTTTGTCTCATTATTGAGATCTTTGCAAAGGCATCCAGGTACCATGGTGAAAGGCATCCTATAATAAATATTTCGAGTTTAAGTCTTTCAAAAATCTTTTGCCCTCAAGGATTTCATATTGAAAGGGAAATTCTAGATACTTAGCTATACATACTTGCTGAAAAATGGACAGCTTTGCCATAGCATGTGCACACCCACACACATACACTTATACAGAATTTTAAAGGAAATATTTGTCTACTCCTGATAGCCTATGAAGCATCAAGAAGCATCCTTTGTGATAGAAAAAAATTAAAGTTTCCAGACTTCCTAGAGATCATAAGTCACGATCGAATAGGAGAGCTCAGTGGTTTGAGCATTGGCCTGCTAAACCCAGGGATCTGGGGCGAAAATCTGTCAGCGACGGTACTTGGTCCTGCTGTGAAGGCAGGGGACTGGACTCAATGACCTTTCAAGGTCCCTTCCAGTTCTAGGAGATATCTACTCACACAATCCATGCAAAAAATTGCCATTTGGATTTATAAATACATGTTTTGCATAAAACAGTAAACAAAGAGACTTTAATAGGAATACCATACATTTATAATCTCTCAAGCATATTTAATAGACAAAGAAAAATGCTTTACAGTTACCTTCTGCTCCAGGTTTGACTCGTTGCCTGGGTCCCTTTGTTGAAGACTGCCTTGGTATTCTTGCAGGACTTCCACTCTTTAAAAAAAAAAAAAAAAAAAAAAAAACCCACGTTAATATAAGTTAGATTTCATTCATATAGACAGATCCACACACATATATAAATAAAATCAGGGCTAGCAAAATCTACTTGCACAGGGCAGGCAGGCAACTTTCCTAGATTAATGCAGTTTCTTACCTTTTTTGTTTTAAAGCAACTGAAGTTTTTAGCCTTCACGGTTTCAAGAGATAACCTCACAAATGTGAACTAAGCGTACCCAACGCAGAGATGTCTTCCCAGTCTGCAGAAAGACTGTTCCAGTGCCACTGTTGGTCTTGGAGTGCCACTGCTGGTCTTGGAGTGATTGTTAGTGTTAAGGCAACCTGGGGGAAGTCAGCCACTGTAGGAGTGGGTGCCCTAGGGGCCTGCCACTCCCACTGCTGCAGCAGATATACTAGATGGGGCTCAACTGCCCCAAAGAAGGTCTCTGTATGGGGTATAAGGTGGCTTCCTTCCGCTCTAGCAGAAGATCCAGGCAGGGGAGGGGAGATCATACCATACAAAAACTTTACTCCAAAGCCAAATGTGGGGTAGACTGGAAAAAGACAGGTCTTCAGACAAGTACTATTTTGTCATATCCCCCTGCTCAAAAAAAAAGGTGTCTTTGAATTGCTGTGAAGACTTCTGCTCATTTGCAGGTTGAATGATGGAGATTAGCTCATCATTTAACCATGGCTCCCTTGTTCTTATAGCATGGCACAGAGGGAACAGAACACCCAGTAGCTTTCACTATTATTAGTGTCATCCAACATACCGCTAATCAGTTTCACTGCCCTTTTACAGAACTTTCCTATTTTGTCTACATCATTTTTAAGATGTAGTGACCAAAACTGAACAGTATGAGGTGAGAGCATACCAGTGATTTATAGAATGCAGTTTTATTTTTCCTATATTCTCTATCCCTTTATATATCTCAACATCTTGGTCCAAATCCTGAAATATGTTTAGCACCTCTCAGGATTTCCCCCTCATCTGACTTTTGAATGCGTCTATGAATTAACAACGCATGTCTTCTGCATCCAAGAATAACTGCCAACCCTACTGATAATGCATATTCTCATGATATGAATGAGACTCATACCTTGATAATTTCTATATGGTTATTAAAAAATTCTTTGATACCCCCTCAAATCTGAACACTGCTCTAAGCTAAACAGCACACAATAATATTTCTTACATCTGTGATATCTGAAATACATGGCTATAGAACGCCTACCCATGCGTTAAGGAAAACGCTCACCGTAAAAGACATGTATGACATTAAATGAAATATAGGAGAAAGAAAGGAAAAGTATGCTTACCAAACTACTCTATATTCCTATTCACAACAATGCTAGAATCAATTTCTAAGAAAGCACGGAGACAGTGCACCCCATTGATAATAATTTGAGACACTGTTAACATCAAGAAGGTGAAGATTACCTGCTAGAGGAGGGTCTGTAAATTTGCTTTTAGAGGGCATATTTTCCCCATTATGTGCTAGTAATGTTAATGAGCACAATAGGAGTTAAGAATGCAGACCATAGAGAGAACTTACGGATTTTCTCCTAACACAAAACTGAAAAATAATTATTTTTAAATGGTGGTTACAATTATGTGATTGTTTCAACTCTTTGCAGGAGCTCACTACAGGCATCCTATGGGCAAGCAAGCAATCTATGGGCAAGTGAGATTAAGCCATTAAAAACTAAAGTAAAACATGCACCAACAATACTAAGGTGCATACGTTTGCCTTCAGAATTTCAGAAGACTTGAAATAAAACAAGAACATACAGATATTACAGACAGAAAGTCACTACACAAAATGAACAACAGGTGATACTGAATAAAGCAACTGGTTTTGATAAACATTTATTCATTAGATTTTTGCAGTTATTTTACCTGTAGCAAGATAGGAAATGTTTTGGTTTCACTCTTTAGGAAGTATTGAGATTTACTGAAAAATAAAACTACTACAAACAAAAGTGAAGGTAATAATGAAGTGGTTTATTTTAATTACTAGCATCTTTTTACATTCATAACATTATGCAAGAGGCAAAATAAAACCTAGCATTCCAGCAAAATCTGGGTTGAGAGCCTTTGGGGCACATCTGGTCTGGTCAAGCATTCTCGTGACTTTTGGTGATGCAATTACACTGCTCTACAGCCAAAATGCTTCTGAAATAAATGTAGTCAAACTTTACTAATTCTGGGTCACTGAGAACGAAAATGATGCTTAAAACTGTTGATTGGCTCTAGTTTTCAAGATATGCTATTGGGTCAGTATATACGACCCTTGACTTGGGAATGGTGGAGGATAAGTGAGTTATAAAGGGAAGGGATCTCAATTTAAACCAGAAATGACTAAAATACATCTTTGACTGGATCTATGAATAAATCTATGACTGGGTTTGGACAGTACTTGCTTTTTAGGCAAAACAATGAATGATGCAATCTGAAGCTGGTATTGCGTCATACATGATATAAATTGCATCATGTTATTCCTAGAAGTCATGGATGATGCAATCATAACGAAGCTTACATCATTCTGCTGAATAAATTGCCTTATATCAGCTCTAGAAATCATACAGTGTCGTGCTCTCTTATTTGTAAGTGTTTGATTTTGCAAAGGGACACATTTCTGTTTAGCCAAAGTGAGCAGAGATGCCTCGTACTTGTGTGAACAGTGCAGATAACTTCTGCTATGTTTGTGGGTGAAGTGACTTTTGCATCACAAAAGCGCAGTATAACCACTATGGTTAAGAAAGCCTATCACCTTTATTTAGGCTGCAAAATTGGAGATCAGGACAAGAGGTGGGCCCCACACATATGCTGCAACACTTGTGCAACAAATCTTCGCCAGTGGTTGAACAGGAAAAGGAAATCTATGCCTTTTGCAGTGCCAATGATTTGGAGAAAGCCAACAGATCATACCAGCAATTGTTACTTCTGCATGGTGCCTCCAGTTGGGAAAGGTGTGTCAAAGAAGAAAAAGTGGACTGTGCATTATCCAAACATTCCATCAGCTCTACGCCCAGTACCCCACGGAGAAGGACTGCCGGTTCCTGATGCACCAGAATCATTCTCACTTGAGTCAGACAAGGAAGAGGAAGAGGATGAAACTTCTGGTCATGAACCATCAATGTCACAGGACCCACATTTTCTCCCATCCTCCTCCTCTGAACCACACCTCATAACACAAGGTGAACTGAATGACCTTGTCAGGGATTTGGAACTACCCAAGAGTAAGGCAGAGCTGTTGGGCTCCAGACTACAGCAGTGGAATCTCCTGCCAGGTGATGTTAGGGTTTCCATGTTCCGTGACCGTCAAAAGGATCTTGTCCCATTCTTCTTCATGGAAGGTGATCTTGTAGCCTGCAACAACATCGATGGTGTGATGGCAGCCCTCAACATCGTTCACGATCCAGATGAGTGGAGACTGTTCATTGATTCATCGAAGACGAGTCTTAAAGCTGTTTTACTGCATAATGGCAATGTTTTGCCATCAATTCCAGTTGGTCATGCAGTCCATATGAAGGAAACCTATGACAACATGAAACAACTTTTGAGGTGCATAATCTATGACCAACATCAGTGGCAGCTTTGTGGCGATTTGAAGGTTGTTGCTCTCTTGCTTGGTCTGCAAACTGGATACACAAAGTACTGCTGTTTTCTCTGCGAATGGGATAGTCGTGCAAGAGATTCCCACTACATCAAGAAAGATTGGCCACTCCAACAGTCATTGGAACCTGGGAGGAAAAGTGTTCAGCATCCACCACTTGTTGAATCAAGGAAGATTTTGTTACCACCCTTACACATCAAGCTGGGTCTGATGAAGAACTTTGTCAAGGCCATTGACAAAACACAAGCAGCTTTCAAGTACCTCCGTGGAAAATTTCCAAGGTTAAGTGAAGCTAAGATAAAGGAAGGTGTCTTTGTTGGTCCTCAGATTCGTGAACTTCTTCCAGATGATGCATTTGACCATGCACTGCGTGGCAAGGAAAAGACGGCATGGAAAGCCTTCCAGTTAGTGGCAATAAATTTTCTCGGAAACAACAAGGCAGACAACTACAGGTTGTTGGTGGAAAACCTCCTCAAGGCATACAAAAGCCTTGGTTGCAACATGTCACTAAAGATACATTTTTTGCACTCTCATCTAGAGCAGTGAGGGACGAGCAACGAGCACGGCGAGCGATTTCATTAGGACATTGCAACAATGGAGAAACGCTATCAGGGCAAATGGAGCCCATCAATGCTTGCAGACTATTGCTGGACAGTGACAAGTGATGCTCCATTTAATGAATGCAAGAGACAAGCCAAGAAGCGCCGAGTAGACACTGAATAGGACTAAACTTTGTACAGAATAGTTTTTTGCCTCTTGTTTCATAATAAATTTTATTTATATAACCCTTTTGCTGATTTTTAAAGTGTTACATAAACAGGACATGTGAAATATTATCATGTAAAGCAACCATAAACACATGAAAAGACCTAGGTTTACAATTTATGATTAAAACTCTACTATCTACACAATATACATAGACATAAAATGTAAAAACTTAAATATCTTAGAAACAGTAGCCAATCAGTTGTTTTAATTGTCATATTTGAATTCAGCACATCGAAATACATAATAAATAGCACATTTTATCTCTGAAGCAGACGACTTCTCAAAAATTGTAGACCAGTGTTATTAGCACAGGTGGGGAAGAAGTTGAGAATAGGTGGAGAGGCTTCTAACAGAGCTGGGTTAGTGATTTATTGTCAGGTAGGGAGTGAAAGCATGGTTTTACATTTTTGTACAACACGTGCACCATGGCAACCGGTGCAAAATAATAGCTAATTTTTATCACTATGGTAATGTACAAAAATAGAAAGACCACATGTTTACAATCTGACTTTTTCCAAAGGGAGATAAAAAAAAAAAAGTGTGTTAATTCTGTTCTCTTACAAATTCAGAGGCTCTGAGACTTTAAAGAGCAGTCACTAATGGAGTCAT